TGAGGTCCACCCATCTTAAAGTTGCTGAGGTTGAGGAACCCATCCAGTACTGGATGGAGGAGCAGATAGGAATATACGGCAATATGAAGAATGGTCAGGACTTCTAATAGAGGTACAGTATTTAAAGATTTGAGTCCCATGGTGAGAAACGTGAGAGGTTAGTTGTTTCAGCATTTAGGCCTTCTTTTTGTTCTTCAATCCAACAGTCACTCACACCTTGGTCACTTCCCCATTGGATTGTTGTTATGCGTTCTACATGGGGCTGCATTTGAACAGGATTCGGAAGCTTCAGTTGGTCCAGAATTTGGTAGCACGTAGTTATGGGTGTCTTGCACTGTGCCCACATAACACCTCTACTCTGTGAGGTGTACTGATTCCCAATAAGCTTCTGGGTGGAATTCAAAGTGCTGGTTGTCACCTATAAAGCCCTACATGGCATGACCAGACTATCTGTAAGGTTGCCTATCTGCAGAGAATATCTGCCTGTTTCACCTATTCTGACCCAGCAGGCCCACTCCAAGTCCCTTTACTCAAATAAAGTCATCTTATGGGGCCCAGGAGGTATGCCTTCTCTGTGGTGGCCCCTGTCCTTTTGAACACAGTGGACATATGGTTGGCCTCAACCCTACTGGCCTTTAGGAAGAGGGTTAAGATGTGACTTCTTTTCTGTGCTTTGGGGTGAGGTTCAGTGGAGTTTCTGGTGGGTGAGTTGTAGAAGTTTTCTGTGCTGTTTGCCATTTTATTGCTTAGTATATATATGTTTGTCTTACGTTATTTTGTATTAATTATTTATTGGGGGGATTTTTTTTTGTACGCCACCCAGAGTCACCTAGTTTGAGTTGAGCAGCTATATAAATGCATAAATAAATATTTTTTTCTATTTTCTTTTTCCCTTCTCTTTTTAAAAAGTTATTTCCAGATTATTTACATCACGATATTTCCGTGTAAGTCTGTGCACTTCCTCTCTGAATCAAGGACAAAGAAACGTGGCCTTCCATTAAAACTTTCACCAAATATTGAGAGTGAGTATGTAAATATGTTCTATTCAGTTTATCCCAGCTTGATTTGATGGTCTGTCTGAGAAATCTGTTTTGATAAATGAAGGGTGAGAAACCAGATGTTTCTAAACTGCAACTCTCACCAGCCAAAGTCAGAGTTGTAGTTCAACATCTGGAGATTTCTCATCCTTGCAATAAACTATGGTCATGATGTGAAACTGTGTTATAATGAACCAGAATGCCATTGCTGCTATTAGATGTTCAAAAGGAGGAAGTGGCTGCAAGTGAAGGGTTGAGAAGAGAGTTTGGGGGCAGCTGTAGCTCTTGGTCACCTTAAAGAAGACCAACCAGCCTCATCAACCTTGTGTCCTTGCATCTAGAAATTCAAACAATACGACAAAGTAACGTTTGAAGTGGTTTGCCTTCTTTCACTTCCCATCTGCTTGTTTTATTCTCCATTTGTCTCTAGCTGCAAAAAGTACAATTGACCACAAATGTCAGTTCAGATATTGCCAGTGCAAGTTAGAACAAAACATAGTTAATGGATGCTTGTTCTAGTATGGATTGCTGGCCAATCCCAAACTGGATTGACAATTCAGACCATATCGAGCCCTAGTTAGACAGAGTTGCACATGATGCTGGATGTAATCATTCCAGAAAGAGGCAAAGAATTAATTTGAGCTGGTTTGGGTGGGGACAATATGTTCATATTCCCCAGGAATAATGTGACCAGTGCTTTGTAATAATTTGAAAAAGGTACTTCAGACCATGAACGTAGTACTTCTCTGCCTCTATCTGATCCTGGGAAAAGATGTGGCTCCTTTAAAGGTTTGCAGACAAGTACTAAACTCATGTCCCCTTTGTGCTCCAACATACTATTTTGAGAAATAAATCTAAAGCATATGGGCCATAGAATAGAGGTTTTCTTGCTTTTGCTCCCTTTTGGATAATCTCCCAGATACAGAAGAAAGGGAGTGAAATAGCCGCAGGTTCTCAAATGTATTTCATTGTCTCTCTCTCCAGCAAGGAGACCGCGTAGGTAGAGCCCAATCTTCATTTCTCTTTGGAGTAAATTGGGCTTGAGAGGAATGATGTCCAGACAGGTCCTGGAATAATGATCAAATATCTGTGTTTTCAGTCTTTGTTCTTTCTTTCTGATGTTGGGTAGAATTGAGTTAACGATATTCATGGCATCTATAGATTTTTGTATGCATTTGTTGCTGCTGGTAGAAATATGAGAGCGTGCTAGGTCCCTGTGGCACTCCTGGTAGTGTTTTGCTAATCATCACTTTCTTGGCTACCATATATAAAATAAATCAGATACATTTTATTGTGTTTTTTTGGTCAGAGTGATTGCAGAATATATCAGAGGAGTGAGAGAAGTAAGGCAACTTCTCTCTCTCCAAAAAACTGTGTGACTTTTGCCTTGCTGAGTGCTATTTCGCCACACACGGTAGTAAAATGCATCTGATTTCTGATGCAGTATATAATTGCTGATGTTCTTGACACTTTACTGAGTAGCTTTTTTATTGGTAATATATGATTTATTCCATTTTGTAGTTCTCAGGGGTACTCAGAAGAACACAAAAAGGTCCTAAATCTGGTCTGTAATTTTTTAGCAATCTTTTTCTGGGTATCATTTTTTTTTCTGTTTAACTTACTACAGTCATAGACCAGAGCAACTTAAAAATGAAATGAAAATTAAAAAGTTACATCAAAATCTGGGTATCATTTTAGAATCTTGGGTCTTTCTGTAAGCTCCTCTTCACTCTGTTCTGGGTAGAGTTTCACTGTTCTAGTAGTCTTATATTTCTGATACTCTCCTCTTCCTGCCTGAGATTCAGATAAGAATGAAAATTTCCCCTCTTTAAGAGGATGGAGGTGAATTAATTCAAAATAAGACCAACCTTGTTGAGAATCAGCACAAAGTTTTAGCAGGAGGTACCAAGGGACAAGGAGGAAACTGTTGTGTGTACCGTAGTAATCTACCATAAGGTGCCTAGAAGGATGTTGAATGATTGCCAGCTGAAGTTTAATCCCATTGGAAGCTGCTCCAGCTTGGGGATATGCCTAGTAAAATATCTTGGGTTCACCATAATTAAAAAGGATACAAGAAAAGTCCTGCTGGTTGAGATCCAAGGCATTTTTGGAGTTCTCTCCTGTTAAAGTTAAGGATGGAGGAGGCAAATGTTATTTTATTATGGCCCACTAGATGTCTTTTGAGAAGCTGAAGAGCAGGACAAGGAGGCATTAGGTCTGTCTAGCTGTTGCTATCAAATAGCTGGTTGTACCACGTCAGACAGTTCTAGAGTTTGCTCATAGCCACCAGAACTAACCACCATCTAACACCCTGTTCCTCATGGAAATGATGCACATTTGCAGAACGGTATGATTGTCTTTTCAGGAATGCCTTTCTGTTTACTTCGATAGTATTTGACCATGATTACTGGAACTCCTTGGAAATTTACCAGAAGGTTCCCAGTTAGATTAGATAATGCCAGCCAGAAAATCATTTCAGAAAAACAGCTGTCAGTCTGAAGTACTATCACTCCTCCATCTGTCTGAATGGTTGATATTTTGTACTACTTAAGAAGGATTAGTGATATAATTTGGTTGGACTGATGATATGTGTTCAGTCTCTGCTGATGAATTGGCTCTCTATCAGTGTGATAAACTGGCTAGCATTATTCCATGTGGTCACAGTTTAATGCTACATTTAAAAACTGGACTCCTTTGCCCACTCAAGCAGAATAAAAATATATTTGTTTTTTTTTCCTGTTTGTTTTTGTTTCTCTTATTTGCATTTTTCTTTCTTTTTCTTGACTTTTTGTCAACATCAAAGCAAATAAATAAATAAATAAATGGTTAGTGATAATAGCGATGTATATAATATACTAATTATCTGAACTCAAATTGTGGTTCAGATGAAGGGCTTTAACCACAGTCTTAAAAAATAGCTTTTTCTGGTTCAAGAATCGTTCCACATGTCATCCAAACCTGGACTCATGGTTAGCTTATCAGCCATGAGTCCTCCAGGAGAATGTGCTGCAGTGCCAGAGGGGCTGCAGAGCACAGGTGTTCCTGCATAAGCATCTTCTGTGGTTCTCTTCCGCCACAACATGTGGCTCGGATCCCAAATGAGCCTCTTAGCATCTCTTATTATGGTTGGGCACACAAGCAGCCAGATGTTTAGACTGGATTTGGCATTTTTATCCACCTATCGAGTCCTTCCAAGGACCTGGGATAGGCAGATGTTGTTGTTTGATGGTGTTAAAGATATTGTCACAC